ATCCCCTGATGACCTTTAAGCTGAGAGACTTTCAGTAAGCCAAAGAATAAAAATAGAGCAGCGCCTGAGGAACCTGTGGACTGACCATGTGTGTTAACAGGTACCACAGCACACATCTTCTTGCTGTAGAAAAGAAAATTCCTATAAAGTGCATGTCTGAAAACTTTTGAATATTAGGGTGGGTTAGGCCTCAGAAGTAGGGTGCAGCTAAAAAGAGGACTAATCTTTCTCTGGACAAAGGTCCCACCACAGATGTTTACTCAATTTTCTATGCCAAGCTAAGTGCTTCCACTTCCTGTCCCATTTGATCCTCATGATCCTTTCCAGGTAGACCTAGGTGCTGGTATGTGTCCCCTGTGGGGTCCATGACCATGTCAGTTCTCACAGGGAGAAGAGGACTTATGACAGGAGGAAGACCCGTTTTCTAAGCACTGTCTGGTACTCAGTAAGCACAAAAGACATGTTTGTGGAATGAACATGTTGATTATTCTAGAAAGAACAAATTCTAGAGAGAACAAATACAGATGAACTCTATGTGTAGAGTTCTCTCTCCACATTTTACTATGTAATCGTGGTCATTTCTGCTCTAGGTGCCCTCTTCTTGTCCATAGGCTGGCTCCCTGGGCACCAGATTGCAAGAAACCCAGCAGGAAGGTAGAACAATCTCCCCTAACTTATGATGTGGCTGGATGGCCCATATCCCCTGAAGATGAGACCTCACCTTTACAGAGGACTTCAAGCTTTTCAAAGCAAAGGCAGTAGTAATTCATGAAACAGGGCAAGTATAATGTCCATTTGACAGATAAGAAACTCAGGCTTAGAATGTTTAAGTGGCTTCCCATGGTCAGAATGGCAGCTGGTAGAAGAGCCAGGCCCAGAACCTCATCTTGGCAAATCAGGCCTGGGTTTGTTTTGTTATCCTCAATGTGTCATATACTAAGGGAGGGATACAGGGTAAATAAAATCATGGCAGCTCTTGTGGAAGATGTACGCAGTGGCAAGAGAAACAGTGCCACAGAAATTTCCAAATCGTGAAGAAACTCCCAAGACAACTGAAGCCTTCAAAGAAAACAATGGGGCCTTGCTGGGAAGACCCAGGTCACAGCGAGCTGCAGTTCCCACTAACCTTGATCTAAGGGGATCTCGTGGTGCTCATGTTTGATAACTACTCATGACTAGAAAACAATGAGATCTCTTGTTGAAAGGTCCCCCTGCCAGGATGCAGGCTGGGGCAGTGAGGGCCAGTGAAAGTGACAAGAATAAACAGTGCTGCTACAAGAACTCCAAGTCCATCTGGGCACAGATACAGAGGAGAGACTGCAGAAAACCTGCCGGCTGGTCTCAGATTTTAATCACCTATTCACACACACACAGGCCAAGACACCCCTAGACTGACTGTGTATCTGCTGGGCTCTGCATGCCCAGGTTCTCAGGCACTCCTAAGGAGCTGCCTGCTCCCTTTTTGAAGTCCCCAGGCCCCAGGGATAATCTCCTGTGCCAAAACGTGGAGCCCATGGGTGACTTACGTTCTTCCCCACATCATCTTTGGAGCTCATCAGGTCTTCCATGTCTGCTCGGAGCTGCTTGTTCTGCCTCTCAAATTCTTCCTTGGCCTCCAGGGCTTCCTCAAGGGCCCGGGACAGGGACAGGGCTTTTGTTTCTTTTTCTCTGGCCTCTGCTTCAGCCCGGTCCCGCTCCTCTGCATAGCGAGCAGAGATGTTCTTCTCTTCTGCTAACAGCTATTGGCATCAGGAAATGTTAAAAACAATAAACACAGCAAATATAAACTCTTCTCAGTCACTATATGTCTGACATTGCTAAAAATGCTATTACTAGATTATGGGTGTTCATATATATATATATACACACACACACATACTTTTTGCTTTGCCAATTTTGATATAGATAAGTATTGCTTTTAATTGCCTTTAGATGAGAAAAGGTTATTTTAAACCCAAACAACAAAAGCGAGAGCTCTGCCAGGAGGCCCCAGGCCTTGGGTTTGCTACATGAAACGCAGACAACCCACCTGATCGAACTTCTTCTGCTTCTTCTCCAAGTTGGAGACAATCTGGCGCTGGTGATCCAGGTCCACCGTTAGGTCGTCGAGCTCCTGCTGCAGGCGGTTCTTGGTCTTCTCCAGCTTGTCATAGGCCAAGGCCTTCTCCTCCAGGCGCTGGCTTAATGCCTCCACATCTTTCAAAAGCTTCTTTTTGGCTTCTTCCAAACTTTCAATTGTCCCCAAGTCATCATCTACTTTCTTCTTGGTATCAGCCAACTAGGGTTTGTATAAGGAAAAACAAAATGATCAATATTAAAGAACTCTTGTAACCAAGGTTAAGGGTTCAGATCCCTGCACCAGCCAGCCACCAAAAAAAAAAAAAAAAAAAAAAAAATCCCCCCCAAATACATATACATATTTATAAAAGAATTCAATTGGTTTCTGCATTTGAAGAATAAAGAAAAAACTTTTGTTTTCAATGTTTTGTGAGAAGAAAAAATGTTATAAATCAATACTATATGATTTTAAAACAAATGGATCTTAGAGTATAACTTAATTTCTTAGCTAAAATCTATAGCATAATGACTGGATTGAAACTTTACATAGTTAACACTGTCCTATGTCTTTATTTTAAAGGCTTCCACCTATAACCACCATAGTATACCAGCCTTGGGCTGGGTCAAAGAAAACATATTTAATGGGTTTAATTTAGTATAACCTAATTAACTGTCCTAAATTGAGCTGAAACGGTCCAGCACAGCAGTGACATTAGCTGCTAAACGCACCCATCTAGGCCAGCGCAGCTTCCTAAAAAGGACACACACCTGGGACTGCAGCGCCAACACCTGCTTCTCCAGGTTCTTCCTGGCCTCCTCCTCCTCCTCCTGCTGCTCTTGAAGACTGTTCTTCTCCTCTTCCAGCTGCCGAATCCGACTGCTCAGGTTCAGTTTTTGGCGTGTCTCCTCCTGAAGGAGCTCCTGTTTATTTTTTAAAAGGTCCATACTTAATTTATATTAATCACCAAAACAAAAACACTTCTATTGAAAAATTCATGTTTTAAAGAAGAGGGAGCCTCAGTTTATGAGAAACAGCCAGTGACATTAATCAACACAAATGATTTAAAAACACCCGTGATAATTTTGTAAAAGCTCTTCACATACTCTGCTTCAAACTCACTCCTGAGGAACAGCAGCCTGTGGGCCTTGCCTTCCCACACCCTCATGTCTTGTCAGTCGCTTGTAGAATCCCTTCCTCTCCACTCCCCTGCCCCTGCCTTAGTTCAGGCATGTGGCATTTCTTACTAGGATGACCTCTAGTCTTGGGCACCCCCTTGATTATTTGTCTTTTATATTTTCTGCTAGATTAACTTTTCTAAAACGCAAGTGGCAACATGTCTTTCCTGTTACTTTCAGACCTGAAAAATTTCCAAGGCATCTCTCCAGCTTTTTGTGCCCTGGCTCTTGCCTCCTCCTCTAGCCTTACTAACAAGGATGGGCCTTGTTACAGCATATGCCCTGTTACAGCGAACTTGTCCCCAGCTGCCTAATTATTCTACTTTCTGTTTTGAGATTTTTACCCCCATATCCCCAGCACTTAGCCAAGCATCTAGCAAATAAAAAGACATAAATGTCTGCATATTTAATAAAAATAAGATGTAAAACTCTAAGAAAAAAGTTCCACATTATTTTCAACTAACTTGTATCCAACTTAAAAACATCCCTAACAGATGATTCAATACAAGTCTTAAAAGTAGGACAGGCAAGCTTCAGCTCACCCTTCTACAAAATGGACTATTTCTCTTAGGTCAGCATAGTGAAATTTCAACCATAATAAAACAATCTTATCTAAAATGGCCAGCAAGACATTGTGTGCAACTAGAGCACCACCTGGGTAAACCACAGCCCCAGCGGCACTCATGAGTGTCAGCTAGAGCTGCCTCCCAGGCCACCCATACGCCTGCCAGACACAGGGACCGAGGGCTCTGCATCCAGACCCAGAACTTCAGTGGGGATTTCCTGAGCAGCAAGGCTGGTTGCAGTGTGAAATGGTTCCAAATGCAAGTGCAACAGAATTAGTATGAAGTGCTATAGAAGGTAATTCTGGACTTTGTATTTTGCCAGCTTATATAATATAGAAATATTAGTTATTTTTAAAGACCCCTTGCTCCCCCTGGAATACCTGTGTATCCTGTAGTTGAGACTCAAGACTAGTTGCATCCTTGGCAAATTTAATACCCTTCTTCTCTGCTTCTTCCAGAAGGGTTGAGACATTATCCAACTCATTCTGCAAGGAGGAGTAAAAGATTGAATCACAGTTCTTAAACCGAACACAACTAGAACAGCATTTGGGGTGGGGGTGAACTTGGAACTGCCAAGCTCAGTTAAGGAAGACTTTCACCACCAACAGTCTATCGCCTCCAAACAGTGCCCAGATACCTGCCTCCACAGACACCTTAATACAGTCTCTACCTACTGAAAGGACAGGAGAGTGATAATGACAAAGTCCATGGCAGTGGCTGCAGGGGGTTCCCCTAACTGTGGTTTAATATCTTTTCTATTTTCATCATGAAGAGACAACAATTATACCAGATCCTTTGAAAGAGTGACTACTGTCTCATGTGAAGAGGCTGTAAGAAACAGGTGTTTTAGTTTGATCCTTTTTCATCCTAAGATGCATTAACTGTATGCTTTGGGGGCGAGCATAGCTCACATTCTTATATAACCTGAGAACTTTATTAAAGAGACTCAAAGAAGTTTCAATTCCAGTATTCAGTCCAAAGTTCTTTAAGTATTTAAAAATCTGGTATTATACATTCATAATAAATATTTAGCTATTTCTTATGGTCATTATTTCATGAATAATGTGGTAATTTTTTTTCTTTTTCCTCCTTGATTAATAATAATTCTAAAATATTTTCCAAAAAATCCCCATGGCATAAGGTGTTTTACAGTTTTTTGTGAGGACAGTGGTATTAGAAAGACATGGAGGGTTAGTGGGGGCCCTTTGATCTTATTTGGCCTCTGGTCACATCAGCAAAGGGAAAGTGCACAGAGGACACGTCTATGCATACAGCAGAAGCTAATGACGTTTCTAATCCTTCTCTTTAGCAACATCCTTCAGAGAGCTCACACTTCATCAGTCTTGGGCCAGTGTGGTGGGGAAGAGCTCTGGAATCAAGTGAGACCTCCTGCCTTCAGGTCTAGCTCTGTAAACTGCCAGGTAAGTCACCAGAGGGAGGCAAGACCCTTACCTTTTTTTTGAGCCTCAGATTCTTCACCTAGCAAATGGGGTCGATGTGAGGATTGAATGGGTGAACAACGTGCATAGGAGCCTAACATATCCTGGTGCAGCACAGGGGCCTAATAAATGTTACTCGCCTCACTTCCCAACTGTACAGAGTTCATAATGTTGTTTCTAAGATGTTCCCTTTTAGGAGTATCTTTCCATTATTTGTGAGAGCACAGACACACAAAATATTTCAGTACATACTTGTGCAGAAAGGAGTTAAGCACAGCAGTCCTGAGACCACTCTCCTGAGAACGGCCTGCTTGCACTGCTGCCTGCCCCTTGACTGGGGTGTGGGAACTTAGATTTTAGGAGGGCTCCCACCATTCCCTAAGTGGTAAGAGTGGCTCACTCTGCTGAAACTATTTGTGCAAACAATGTGTTTTATGCCGAACACCTCCTGCTTTCCTTCTGGGAGCCTGATATTTTGGTGTGTGCCAGGCTTACGTGACCATCCCCAATAAAAAGCTAGACAGTGAGTCTCTAATGAGCTTCTTGGAAGACAACACATCATACATACATTCAGGACTCACTGCTGGGGGAATTACGCACATCCTGTGTGACTGCACTAGAGAGAGCTCCTGGAAGCGCATGCCTGGTCTCCTTAGGACCTCGCCCCAGGCACCCTTTCCCTTTACTGATTTTGCTTTATATCTTTTCACTGTAATAAATCATTGCCGTCAGTAGGACTGTATGTTGAATCCTGAGTCGTCCTAGTGAATCACTGAACTGTGGGGTGGTCTTGGGCCTCTGAAACAACACAGTTCTGGAATTTTTTT